GAGACTTTGAGTATTTTTTCTTGGTTCTTGGGAGTTGAGAGCGGGTGCCGGTTGCCGGATCAGGGTGTCCGTTGTGGTGCTCAATGGGTGCGTTTCCGACCTTGAAGGAATTGGGTTTAAACTTGAGAAGAGGCAGGGAAGTCAAGGCGCGTAAACTTGGGCGACGAAGAAGGCAGAGAAGAGACTAGATAGTCAGTAATGAGATAACGCAGATTCCGAACATACCTAGGGGCTTGCAAAGTCTATACCTGTCGTGATGGCGAGGTCGTGATACGCCAGGAAGAGAAAAAGAAAGGAAGAAACCTGGAAGACATCTGATGGGAGAAAAGCACAAGCATCTGGTACCTGCACAACCGAAGTGCAGAAGTGGGTGAGACCGACGTCGGCACCTTCCATTTGTGCAGTTTTCGGCATAGTGGAAGGCATGTCTGCCAGTTCACACAGGGAGACGTCATTGACAAAAAAAAATCAACAATATTGCCAATCCCAGCGCTGGAGCCTAAACCCGGGTCTCTGAGAATATCACTGTGGAAAACGAAAACCCAGTACAATGAATTCGCTCTCAGAGGAGCCGGAGCATATTTGTCCCATCTCCAAGCGGGTGCCTGCATCAGGCGGAATCCTTCAAGGGGCTGTGCCTGCCAGATTCTGTCCGGCAACCTCCCGTGACCATGACAGGCCGATGAATGGGTTGGGGACGAGATGCGGCAGACTCCCGTTCTGATGGAAGGCGCGGGGGAGGACGCCATTGTCGCGCAGAGTGGCCTTTGACGTGAAACTCCCGTCGGACCGACACCATGATGAACCTCCAGGGCGAGTCTCATTCTCTTCAGGATCAATCACCAGCATTACGCCGGCCTTTCAGACACTCCAAAATTCCCTTCGAAGAGGGACTTTCGCAAATCAGTAAACACTGGACCTTTCAGATTAGTATACCTCTAGACTACCTGCCATCACCTCTCATACCCCTCGGTTGAACAGCCAAAATGTCGCTCGATATCTTGAGCATCCAGACCCATTTCACCTTTGCCTCCTCCACATCACACTAAAACACCCAAGTGTGTTTTTCCCTACCACCTTCATCCTGCTACCTGTCCCCGTTCCCACTGCTAACATCAATCCGCTCTGCATCTTCCTTCACCTCGTGAGAGAGAGACGTAGGCCATAATCCGGTAGTGTCTCGCCAGATGAATGGCGTGGAAGATGATCATGCTTTTTGCAGCAAACAAAGGACATCCCCTTCATAAGATCGCCAACGCAGCCCCAAGCCTCAAGTCCATCCTCCCTCCGATTTCTTCTCAATTTCCCTACCCCGTCGCCCTTCTCATTCATTGCCGAACCCTCTTCCCCCTCATTCCCCAGACTTCTCTACTTTCGCTTCCTCGAAGAGTAGGTACATCCCAAGAAACCAACTCAGTATGGAAGTTCAGATTCTGATTCGTCCTGGAAACTGGTGTCTGTAAAATTCTCCGCTGCTCTTTTTTCCTTTTTTTTTCTTTTTTTCCTTGTTCTCAGCTCTCAACCACGCTGGCTTTCAGCTGTTCGTTCCGGAAGCTTCTACACTAGAAAGTTTTCTCCTTTGCCGGAATTCCCATTGAGGGATTCCGTCCACTCTGTAAAAGTAAAAGGCACCCGTGAACACTCCTACATTAGGTGTACAAGAATCAAGCAAGTAGTTATGTGCTATCTTACACCTCAAAAAAACCCTTCGTCGTCCCACTGTTCCCCAACATATACCTACTCACAAACGCCTTAAAGTTAGTCACTGTCCAGTGTTGCGCAACGGAATGTTAGCTTGAGTATAAAGAGGGGACGCAAATAGAGGATATCGTCGTATTCGAGTGATAATGTTGGTGCAAGTACCTGGCAGTCGGTGGTTAGGAAATAGGGCTTCCGCAAGTGATGTGTTTTTAGGGAGGTCAACTTTGCACCATCGAACATCTAGATTCATGCCGTTGAACATCTTTTCAGATGACAAACAAGTCACATGCTCTGGAAAGTATGTTATTGAATCATGGCGTTTGTTTCCAGGTTGTTCCTGAGGCGCAACCTCAAAAAACATATAGAATTCAAAAGGTTGGAACCATGGATGAAGGTTGTGCGAATGGTATGGATGGGTAGAATGTTGTGATCATGGACCCAGGCTTGATACGACTGAGTGAAGAATTTACGCCTCATTGTGCCAAGAAAGCAGATAGATAGAATAGAGATGAGGAAAAACCAGGCGGACGCTAGATAATTAAGGTAGAGCTGGAAAAATCTTCCGGGACGTTGCTCCAAAAAACCGAGATTCAGTGAATTCTCTTTTGAGGCAGAACCTTGTGTCGGCGCCTTTACAGAGGCCAGAGTCTGGAATCTTTTCAGCCGTGATTGTTAAGGAGGAATCGAAATTCGCTGCAAAAGATGGATGCACAGGGTAACTTCGAATGATGGAGATAAAAGTTCTGCTTCCATTCGTATCCGATCATGATTTGTATGGCTTGATGGCTACCGATGGTGTCTGCCATTTGCAAGTACCACCGTGAGGGCTTCGTCTTACTGCCTCTTAATCCCAACGTGCTGGTCAACAAAGTCGAGAACGGGTTGAATGGTCGTCTCCCATCCTGGGACATTGGCGCCCTACAATCATCTTGTTAGTACTTGCCAGAAAGTTAAGCAGGTTTTGATCATTTCACCGTGTATTTTATGTCAAATACGTGCGGTTCACCCTCCTCGTATCTCTCAATGATAGGAACGCCTCTCTCTCTGAGCGTGGCGGCCATGTCATAGCTTTGCTGAATGGGCACAGGCTCGTCGGCGCTACCGTGGAGGAAGGCAGTTGGTGGGTAAGGCCGCTGTTTGTCCTCCTGGAGCACCCTGAGAGGAGCGATAGACGTGATGAACTTGTCCAGTTCTGCCTTGTCAGGAAATCGCTCGCTGTGGAGGAAGGCTTTGTGAATGTCACCCGGAAGCGCCCTTACAGAGCGCCACTGGTGGGCTTCAGCCTGTAGTCGGAAACGCTTGTCGTACTTAATGTCGGCCGCCCAGCGCTTTCTAAGTTCTTCCTCGGAAAATAGTTCCCGCTCGTTCCAGCAGCAAGCATCTGTCAAGACGTTGTTCAGATCCCGATCGTTGATGAAGCGTTCTAGTTCCTCGTCGGTGAACTCTCCTTTCCAAGGCTCAGGCGTGCGGCCGGGCATGTTGACAAAGGGCGAAATGTCTACAAGGCCGTAGACATCGACTATGACCCTTGGAGGAGGTGAAGTCAAGTGCAGGCCCATTAGAGTCACCAGGGTACCGCCAGCGGATTCGCCAACAAGGACATAGCGGTCGACGTCAACCTTGCCCTCGCCCAAGATGGACGGGAGATTTTTGCGGCACCATTCGACAGCCTCGATAGAGTCGGCGACTTGGTCATCAAGGGCGGCTTGGGGAGCAAGACGGTAGTTGTGAGAAACAAGGTGGTAACCGCGCTTGCGGAAGCCGGGTGTCAGCCACGGAAGTGGGACGAAGTGGTGTCCGCCGAGGAACCCGCCTCCATGGGTCCAGAACACAATCGGGGCTGGGTCTTGGACCACGTTCTCGGCCGGCCAGACACGGACTCCGAGCTCGACGCCGCTGGAGGATTTGAAGGTGTGGTCAGTATAGCCGGGTGGGGCATAGAAAAAGCCCTTCAGGTCCTCATCGACCTTGTCGAAACTGAACTCGTCCTTCTTTATATCTGTCATGTTGAGCATGCCAAGGCAAATGTCGGGCGAGTGATGATGGCGAAGGCTGTGGAAGTAGATGCCGCTGTCGACGCGAAGAAGCCTTTATGTATCTGCCATCTCGTCTGGTGCAGGGTCGTCCTGATCTTGAGACTCAGGGATGGGATGGGAGTTGTCGTTGACATTCGGGCCGTGGTCGTGGTTGTCGGCTTGCGGTCCGAGGTCGCCGGCCTCGAATCAACGTCTTGGAGAGGATATTACCCGGTCCGGGGTCCCATTCCCCCGCGGGAGAAGCGCAATGGTGGTGCGATTGGGAGGGGGCAGCTGGAGCCTGGTCGCTAAAGCGCCAACGGGCAGCGCAGTCCTTTCATGTTCAAAGACATTGAATACCTACCTAGTGACGTTGATATCGTGGTAACGCGGTATGGCAGTTGATCGTGTCTTGTGACTTTAAACGCGTAATTCGAAATCGGTGTCGCATGTCCATGACATGCTGCTGATTCCCAAGTCCTTTTTTTGAGGGTTCGATTTTTGGGGGCTGAGGTTGGGCGACAAACGCAAAGTGGAAGGTCGAACTGTTGTGCGGGGGTGTCACCGTAATTGTTAGCGTACTGCCTCTGAACTAACGTGACTCTAGCCTATAATGGTGAGAATACGTTAGTCAGCCATCAAATCCCATCTTATTCAATGCCAAGACCCATCAGCAAGGCCAACTTCAAGACTGAGAGAAAAACTCTGCAATAGAGGTTCTTCCTCAACAGAAACCTCCTCGAATCTACAGTTGTGTCTTAAATGCCTTGACAGGCGTGTCGAAATCAGGCCTTCTTCGACTGGGCTCCTCGCTGTCTCCATTCTTCCATTCCTTCTCCAAGTCCAGTGTTTCTGTCACACTCATCGCTCCCGCCGCATCATCACCTGCCTAACGAGCCATGCACAACAGACGAGCAGTACTATCAACTACATTTGTCCCTCCGAGGATTTGTCACTCGTCCCAAACACTTTTCGATCCTCCATGAAGTTTAACAGCGACAGGACCTATAAAGCTCCTCTCCAATGGCCGAGTGATCAATCGCATGACGATTGACACACGGAACTAGTCTACAGGGTTAGGGTCCCTCCAACATCCTCGGTACTTGGCACCACGGCATTTGACGGCATCACGACGCGGGGTTCGGATGTTGTTCTCAGGACAGCCAGGGGTTCACTTCCTCGACCCATCCCTTCATAGAATAAAGTGCCTCCAGATACCACCGATACAGCTTCTTTCGTACAAGCTTCTCACCAATATCCAGTTCCATCAAAGAAACGAAAAAAATGGCCAGCTTTTCAACGGCCCAAGACCTCTTCATCCCTCTCGGCAAGGATGGCCAACGCATGTCGTACCGCCTCCTCGGCCCTTCGCCTTCTTCCTCCGGCAAGATCCCCCTCGTCATACTCATGGGCTTTCGCGGCACCATGGACCAATGGGACCCGGCTCTAATCGACCCTCTCGCCGCCCAACGCCCCGTCATCCTGACAGACATCCCCGGCGTCGGCCGCTCCGAGGGCGCCGTTCCTCTTTCCATCACTGAATGGGCGCAGAGCGTTGTCGATTTGCTCATCGTCATGAGGATTCCTCAAGTGGACGTCTTCGGATACTCCATGGGCGGATGCAATGCCCAGATGGTGGCGCTGATTGCCGAAGAATATTCAGGAGGCAAAGTGAAGGTGAGGAGGTTGGTGTTGGCGGGGACTACACCTAGCGATGGACCGGGGGTCAAGAGATTCAAGGGTGAGGAGCTGGAGGCTTTCCAGAGGCTGGCGGCGGCCCAGACGGTGGAGCAGCAGAAAGAGGCGTTTATGAAGGGCTTCTTTGGACGGTGTTCGGAAAAGAGCTGGGCGGAGGGGGAAAAGAGTTGGAAGAGGATTGCTGGTGCGAGGAAGAAGACGATGGGGCAGTTAGGGAAGGAAGGGTCGAAGAGGCAGGGCATTGCGTTTGCCAAGTTCATGGGGGAGGGTAGTTTGGAGAAGTTGAAGGGGTTGAAGATGCCGGTGCTAATTGCCAATGGTGAGTTTTCTCACAAAGTGTGTGTCTTGGGTTATGATGCTAATGTCTCCATTATCTGAACAGGGTGTCAAGACTTGCTCTTGCCAACGGAAAACAGCTATTTGATGTACAAGACACTACCGAATGCGTATCTGCACCTATACCCCGACTCTGGACACGGCTTTTTGTACCAGTACGCGGATCACTTTTCTTCCTTGATCAATCTGTTTCTGGATGGTGAGAAGTTGAGTGGCACCCTCATCCCCAGCAAGCTATAGCAAAAAGGCCAAGAACACCACGCATTTCCTGACCACTGCCCTCGAAAGAAAAATTGGTTAATGGGGGACCGCGAGGTGCTTAATTCATAATCTGCCAACGATTCTTTTTGCGTGGTACGCGGAATGAAAGAGCAAGCAGGTGTGCTGTGTGGCTCATCTTTCCTTTGTCGGCACGGGATCCCTTATTCTCAACATTAATCCAATAACCTCCCAGTTTATACCTCCAATAGCTCCTTTCTCGCCCCTTGTCAGCCCCTTGACAACCCCTATGTCATCATCTGAATCCTCTTTCCATGTATTCTTCTCCTATCCTTTAACATTCCTGCCCTTCCATCCTTCAAGCAACGCAAATACCACCGCAATCCGCACCACCATTCTCAGGATCGCAATCATCCCTAGGATCATCCACACAAGTCAGCCCTTTAGGGCACAAAGTGCCCAAGAATCCGCCGCAGACCAGCGGCTCGATGCAGACGCCGCCACAGTCGGCACCTCCCTTCTTCGGGTCGCAATCATCGCGCGGGTCGTCGACGCAGATCTGCTTCGCGTCGGCGCAAGGAATGGCGGCGAACCCACCGCAGAAGCCGCCGGCCTTGAAACATGTACCCTTAATGGAAACTTGGCCGGGGAGGCATTTGTTGATCTCGGTGTAGGAGGAGGAATCCCTGGGGATGGCAGTGGCTGAAGAAGCTGTGGCCAGGAGGGAGAGGAGTGTGGTCTTGAAGAGCATTTTGGTGTTGGCTTGTGTGGGTAATGTCTGTAAAGTGTGAGTCAATGAACCTTTTGGTTTGTGTTCGCCGTGTTTGGCCCACCTTGTTGATTGTTGGTTGTTGAAAGGGTTACCTGTGAAAACTGGTCCTGATTTTGAGTTGTTATGTTTGATGTTGATGAGATGATGTGGTCAACCTTGGGACTCCAGCAATCTTTATACTGGAATGAAGACGAGGGAGTACTGACCCCAAAACCGGTGTGGCTGCCCATTTTGACCTTTGGAGTAACAACTTTCGTTGTGTGACGAAGTTAATCGGCTGAATAACTTAAGGCTATGCTTACTCTTCCCGCCCTTTGCTTCCTCTGATTCAACAGAGACACCGTTTTCCCACGTTCCCTTGGCATTTCTTTTTTCGGTCGAAGCCAAGACGGAGTTTCAAGACATGACCACATTGAGGAAAAATAACTGAAGCAAGTCTGTCAGCCATGATACCGTAAGTCGTTGTCCGAGGATTCTGTGGCTTACCGTATAAGCATTGACTGACCATAGGGCGTCACGGGCTATTTATTGGTCATGGATGGCCAACCGTCAGGTGGCTGAGGCTGTGTTTTTTCCTTTTTTCAAACCTTGTTCCTGACATATTCCCGTTTTAGGATGCGCTCAGATAGGGATAGGTAAGTAATGAACTTGGTTGGGGCTGAGGCTGACACTACGATACAAGCTGCCGAGCTGCATCAAATTCAAATCTTGGAAAATAATCGATGGGTACGACGACGATGCGTGCATCTTGACATATTTAGGCAAGATCTGTACCTATCTACCCACGTATGTGACACTCACCGTTTGACAGACGACGACGAAACGAGACAAGCACATCCCGGAGCACGCAACCCACGACTCCCCTCATGTTATGTACACAGCAGTGTACCAAACGAGGCATGTAGGCGCCATGTACAACTCTCAAGGAATTCCAAACATTCCATTGCTGTCTACTTCAGGTGACATCAACCACTTATTCTCCCTTAAAAAAAAAACAAATAAAAAAAAAAACAAAAAAAACATGACAGCTGAAGACATCTGAGATCTTCTGTGACACCAACATTGATTTCTCAATGCTATTATTCCTAGGTAGCGTCGGATTCAAATTGTCAGGGGAACCAACTGCTCGTAACTCGCGCCGTTATGCAATTTGAAGTCAAATCCTCCATGCGGTGACAACTCAAGTTAGCTTCAGTTCTTCTTCCCATATTCAGCTAGTCCCTCCTTCATCCTGCTTTCCTGCCCCTCGTTGCCTTTCTTTCTCAATATCGTCGTGGACGTCATCGGAAGAGATATTTTCCCCGTCTTACACCACACCCGCTCTCTCGGAACGATATTCTTATAAGAGTGTTTATTATGCATGACCATCGATATACGCTTTTGGAAGTCTCGGGTACTGTAGCCTCCACTATGTTCTGTTCTGTGCAGTCCCCGTCATGCCAAGTAAGTGTGGGTGGGAACTCGGAGGGACGGATCATAGTAGTGTATGTGTCGGCGTTCTGTGTGATCACGGAGGGGAGGGGCAGCTCAGCTCATTGATGGTTCCTTCCACCGGGATTGAAAAAGGTAGAGTAACCGACGTCGTGGCTACTTAAGATGAGCGCACCTGTGCCGTCTTGATACGAAGCCATACTATGTAGTAAAGTCTGAGGCAAATCGGCAGGGTAAGTAAGGGGACTGAACCAAGTAACACGGTTGTCTCAACACGTTTCACCTGCACTCAGCTAATACCTTATCTTACAACTACGCTACATAAATGATATGGAAGGTACGTAACAGCCATTGCCAATCATCACCTTGTCCTGGGCTCCTTACCTCTACCTAGGGTACTTTGCGCTTCATCCATCAGTTCGCTCAGCAGCCCCGGGTATATAGGGGTGATGCGAGGAAGCTGTCGTGAACTTCTTGATTTCTTCATTTCTGGAAAAAGCCAAAAAAAAAATTTAAAAAAAAAAATAAAAAAAAGTTAGAAACCAATTTTTTGAACGGCCTGTCAACGATCAATGTGTCCATTCTACGTATGTTGTGTCATAACTTGGAGTTTTTCTCTGTCTTGAATTTTGATTTATTTTTCAATCTAACTTGGAAAACATGGGATTTCGAACCTCTTTATTGTTTATATTTTTTTCCCCTTCGAGTACATAGAGAGAGTATCTACGTCAAGCCGACGAAGCGGTGTTACGGGACGTTGGGGTTGGGATTGATGTGTCCTAATGGGTGGGAGTGCGTGCCTGATTTGAGGATGGAACGAAGTGGGAGGGAAAACATGTTTGGGATTTGTGTTTAGAGGATCTCACGGAGGGAAGGGGGAGGGGTTTCTACAAGAGGTGCTCTAGGCTGTTTCGTGTCTTTTCCTGATACGTCGTGCTCTACTACAGCTTCGGTCCCGGACGATTGAACATAGAGAATTTATGTTCAGTTTTCTTCCGTGAAGCTTGGCGTGAATTTTGCCTTTGGTTAGGGACTGTCAGTGTTGTTGGATATATCAATGAAATATTCGATTCACAACAGACTAGTCACGACACAGAATAGCAATCAAGTTGTTCAAAGTATTGATTATCGTTCAGCTAATTAGTTGGGTGTGCTGAAGAAAGATGGGGGTATTTGAACTTGACAGTCGTCGCTCATCAGTCATCCCTGACCAGAACCAAACGCCAGCCAGCAACAAGACTACCTATGAACAACTGCAAAAGAAAACATTATATGTCGTAGGACTCGTACTTCATAATTATACCCACTCATGACCAATGCATGATCAAGGGCAACTTCCACTGCCTTCCTTCCGCCTTCAAATACTTCTCTTTTCTTCTCCTGACAAAACACCTTTTTGTTCAAGTCCACCAGGGAAACGAACTCCTTAAACCATTTGCTCACCCCTCACGCCATTATTGTGAAAGGAACCTCCAACGCCATTGCTAGCAACCGGCTTGCGGTTAATGGCTGGTCCACCACCATAACCACCATAGCCACCGTATCCACCACCAGCATAGCCATGCTTGTCATCAAACGGGAAGCCAGCACCGCTGGTGCCCCAGCCAACCTGCCTGGTGAAAGTAGCGCCGCCCAGCTCCATGTCGTCGCGGCTGCCAAAGGGGAACGGGTTGGACCTGTTGAGGGGGATATGGTTGTAGCGCCAATCCCAGATACTCGCATACACCATGCGGTAGGCGCTGAAAGCCATGATGGTACCGATAACCGCGCCAGCGAGGACGTCATACCAGTGGTGGAACTCGTCAATGGTCAAGGCGCCGGCAATCAGGCACGCGCCGAGCACGGGGGCGTAGACGGCGGCGAGCTTCCAGAGCGCGGGGTGGTAGTTGGAGAAGACCTTGAGCTTGGCGTTGAGGTAGAGGGCCAAGAAGATGAATCCCGCAAAGGCAGCGGTGGAGTGACCAGACGGCATAGACTCGAGCGAATCATCAATCTCATTCGGATCACCAGTGCAGATATCCTTGGTGTAGTAAATCTCGGCGAAACCTTGCGCCGAGTAGCCCTTTTCGGCAATCTGGGTGTTGGTAGCGCGAGTAATGTCGGGCTTGCAGACGGTCAGGAAGTGAGGGCGCAGGCCACCGATAAGCCACTTGATGAAGACCTGGAAGACGGCGGCGGTGATGAGACTGTACAAAAGACCCAAGACGCCGTTGTTGACGTCCCAAAAGGAGCGGATGCGGATCTGCATGCACAGGATGATGAAGATGGGAATGATGGAGGCCAGGAAGGCGGCGAGCCAGATGGGAATGATTTCCTTGCGCATCGGGTAGGCGAACTGGGGGTAGACGACTTCGCCGTCGGAAAACTGGACGGCAAAAGAACGGGAGGGGGCCGGGTGGGCGTAGTAGACCTGTATTGTGGCATCATGTTAGGATTTGAATGATGTAGGTGATGATAAGGTGAGGAGGGTTTGTGTGAAGAGACTTACGCCGAGACCGATGGCACCGAGGGCGGCCATGGTGAGAATGTCGAGCCAGGTGTACTTGAGCCACTGGCCAAAGGTGGGCCTGGTGGTCATGGTGTAGGGCTCGAAGCCATGGCGACGAGCGCGCTTCTCATTGCGAGTAGTGCCATTAGCAGCAACAGGCGGTGCGGGACCATCCGCGGCGCGGGGTTGACGATTGAAGAAGCCCATCTTTGTGGTGTGGTTTCTCAGTTGTTGTCGGTGTTGTGGTTGTTTACCCGCGAGATATCTCCACTGGATCGGGTACCTGGTTGAGACTAGCCTGGCCTGTGGTGGCAGCCCTTGTTCCAGTTCAAGTTGTACAGGAGTTGAGTGTACAAGCTGTTGGATATTTCAAAACTGAAAAGTCAGAAGTGGTTGAGTGGTGAGCTGTGATGGTTTATAACAACAAACGGAACAGCAAAGAACCTGTGCGTTCAAAGCACGGCATGTGTTTGTTGGTTTGACGTCATAATGGAAAATGGGATGGTTGTGTGCCAGTGAATGGTCAGGAAAGGCTGAACTCGTTTCCCGTCTGTACCAGGCAAGCGAGAGTGAATTGTGCTGTGCCCTTGCTTATCGTGTAAGTGCCCGCCCGTTGGACATTTGAGGCAAGTTATCTGCAGTGCTACCGCCTGCCCTGGTTATCCTGGCTGCCCGGTTGTGAGCAAGCAAGGTACGTTACCTGGACAGGCACGATGGCATGTACGTCGTTAGGCATGAAACTGGGAGAGAAAATTACGAGTCCCTTCAAGTTGACTTGGACGTGAACGGGACGTTGTCACAGGTTGAGGAAGAAAAATTAAGGGAAGCTAAGACGGAACTCGGCAGCATAGCAACTCACAAAGGGTTGCATTCATGGGTATTTTTTCTTGAATTTGAGTTTTTGTTGTCTCATCATGAAGGTCTAGACCAATTGGTCGTCGTGTCTTGAAGTCAGACTGCCGGGAGATTGACATTTGAGTGAACACTTCAACAGGGAAGAGCCTGTAATTACCGTGCAATCTTTCAGGGGATGCACTCCACCAGTGACATCACGCCCCACCACTCCACGCGGAGCTTAAGGTCCTAAGTCTTGGCAGACTGGGCACCCGTCCTTTGAGGGCTGACCAATGAAAGGGCAGCAGAACAATGACATCAAAGCACCTCAGGAGAGTGAAGCTAAGCTCCGATAACCGATAAGTGATAAGATAGCAGCAGCTCAGCTCAGCTACTTGTACATGTACATAGGTCAACTGGAACCCCTCCTCGTCTTTGGCGGGGGAGAGCTTTCGTCATGGGAAATAGTCGTCAACCAACCCCTCACCGCCGTCCGTCTTCGGCTGGAGATGAATAGCGTTGGCTGAAGACGACAACCACCATCACCACCACACCAATGCTACCTGCCATTCAGTACATATGCAGCCAGCAACAGTTCACAATCCATTTCGAACAAGTAGGAATTGGTTTGGAGGGATTCAAATTGCGTATCTCTATCAGGTGTGTGTATCTGCTGTAAAAATTCCAAATGCTAACCCTCCCAATTGCTCTTATTGTACGATGTTGAATCACCCAATCTCTGTAGCTGCTCTAGCGGAGAGAGAGAAGAGTGACCAATCCATGTTTCGTAAAAACCGCCCAGATGTAAGAACATGAAGAAAAATAAAGGAAAAGAGAAATGCCAAAAGGTGTATATCCCAAAATGACACACAAGTTGGAAAAAAAAAAGAGAAAACGAGATCGCTCCCACGCCATCGCTTCTAGGTATTAACAGCAGCAAAGCAAACATTATCAACAACAACAACAACATCAACAACAACCAAATCAACGACGACTCGAAACATGAGGCGCATGTCCCGAAGGATACCCATTCGGGTAGATGCCGACGTTGCTGATGCTGTCTTCGGGCGCTATGCTGTCGTCATCCAGCCAGTCGCGCTTGGCCGGCCCGCTGGTGAGATACGTCGGCGCAGTGCTAAAGGTGTCGCCGTCATGACGCTTCTGGTATGTTGCCGCGTAAGGGGCAGGTTGATATGTCGCGTGGTGGTGATTGTGGTTGTCACGGGAATGGCTCTCACGACGTTGCTGCTGCTGCTCTAGGCACTGACGGCATTCGCGGGACACGCTCACGCTGGGAAAGGTGTTAGTAGGCGGGACATGAGGATGGTAGGAAGCCGAACGAGGCAACTTTGGAGGAGTGATGGTGGTGGTGGTGGTGGTATGTGTGTTTGCAGGAGGAAGAGCATGGCTTGTCCCCGAAACGTAGCGGATGCCCGAGCCAACAACAGCATCATGATGAGCAGTACCATGACCTCCGCCGCTACCGCTAACTCGTCTCTCAGAACCGGAAGCGAGCCGGTAACTGGAGCTGTTGTTGTTGTTGTTGGCCGACAACGACCGGGGAAGGTGTGGTGGGCGTTGTGTAGTACAAGAACTTGAAGTAGAAACATGAACGATGCGATGTGTTGGGGATCGGGACCGAGGGGGTGTATTACATCTGTGCAGGGTACCGGCAGGGAGAGGTCCGAGGACCTTGCCGCCCTTGACAACCATCTGGATGCCCTCCTTGAGGAAAACGACACCGTCACCCTTGGTATCGCCGATGTAGTTCTCGCCGCTTCGCACGGATCCGTTCCAGAACTGGACGCTCTGGGCACCCTGGACCACGAACTCGCCAGCGTTGCCCTTGGACTCGAAGATCTGCTCGCCGGAGATGGTGGAGGCCGAGGCGAGGTCGGAAGCCCTCTTGGAGATCTCGGTCGAGCCGTTGACCCAGTAGGTTTGCTGTTATGGGCCGCATATGTCAGCTTCTGATGAGCTTGAAAGTATCAAAACATCCTCCAGGGGTTTACTTACGACGCTCTCACGCTGGCCAGACATGTTGGATGGTTGTGTTTGGTGATGGAAGGGTAGTTGATGTGGTGGTGGAGTTGTTGAGGTTGATGTGGAATCGAGCAGTGTCAACGTTGCTTGTTGTGTGTTTGGGATATCAAATACAACAACAGCTCCAAGGACCTGGGACTGCCAATCTATTTATCAAAACCCGACTCCAGTCTCTCCCAGCTTCCCAGCTCTTTCTTCATGCCCAAAAAAGCCACAGCTCCCAATCCACAATCATAGCCCCTCTCTGTCTCAGGCGTCTACGTACATAGTCGAGGTACATCCCGAATCCGTGGAGTTTCAACCGAGAAGGTGGGCCGGGAGTTTCTGTTGGCTACAGAATATTCCGACCGGCCAATGGAACGGGCCACCGTCCTCGCCATCAAAGATTGTACACCAACAGTGGCCACGGCATGGCGCCTAAACGAGATGCCCAACATGGCAGGGTTCTAACAGGTCAGAAACACTGACGTGGATGCGGCCTCACAGCTAACGATTTGAGTCTGCGTCGTCCTCGCTCCAGCGTCCCTCACTGTCGTCCAGTGCCAGCCTGGCGGGTGGGTTCCCATCAGGAGGCTAGGGCTGTTTCGGGTAAGGGCTGCAGCAGAAGCCGCAGGCGACGAGACCGCTCGTGCCTCTCTCGCAGAGAGCTGTTCTCCGAGTCATTTGCTAAATGTCGGTCGTTGCAGCAGCGCCTCGAATCGGGTTCTCTGGGCCTCAAAAAGAGAGCACCTATCACTCGTCAGGCTGAAAGTGGCTGGACCACACTACGCTAGCATTTGCAAGGCACCGCTGGTTGGGTCCTATCCCCAAAAAAAGAACACGACGGGGACTGGACTTTCGAAACAACCGCCGGCTCGGTTGTGATCAGTGGTGGTGCTGCCTTACCATCCGCAACCCCATTCATTGTCACAGTCGTATGCGCGGCAAGGCCTCATTGGTCTCTGTGGATGCCGACCCCCAGCCGGCAACAGCCCCTATTGGCTACCTATTTGCCCTCCTTCAAACTGGGGGCAAGCCATCAGCTAAAGATGTGTGGAGGGGTCGATTAGCGTGGTCCAGATCAAAGACTTACGGGGTCTTCCCAAAGGGGGGCGCAAAGCAACTTGCATATCGAGATGGAGCACGTGGAACCACACTATCGACGAACAAAAGGACGCAAATAGCGGTCTTGATCAAGGTCCTCGAGGACGATTCGCAAAGTCGAGAAACCAGGCACGCAAGAAATAGGAGATGGCGGCAACATGGGTAGACAAATGGCATGCAAATGGCAACAAAATAGGGCCACTGTTTGATGGCCTCGATGGCGATTTGGACGAGGTTGCCTGATAGTCTGAACGATCTGCAGTTTCTCGACCCTGCGATCCTGCATAGCCCCTTCTATCCTTCACCACTGGACTGCACCGGAGTCTTCCCCAAGTTCTAGATCTTGCCTACCTAGTTTACGTGGCCGATATTTCTGGCATTCTCGTGAGAACTACTGCCAGTGACTGCGGTAGGGCGGTAGGCGGAGCGCGAATTGGCCGTTGCCATCACAAATCACACTTGACGATTCGGAATCACATATTCTCAATTCGTTTCTGCTCACTCATAGGCTCTCGCGATTCTACGAGGGGTCCATTCATCACCACAGCTAAAAGGTACACTTGTTTAGTTCCGTTGCTTCCGTCCCTGAATGGCTTTTAGCGAAGTGAGGTTTCCTGCAGAAAAGAAGCAACCAATGTGCACAACATATTGACGACCGCATTCACAAGGCCATCCATCATATGCAGGTGCAACCATGCATCGAGATGGAAAGACGGATTCCCCTTCAATTGTTGGTGGTGCCTTGCTGATGATGATGCCTTGAAAAAGTCCGAATTCCGAAAGGACAAGCCATTCTTGGCCTATCTTTTCTGGACCTCGACGTTGCCCTGGCATTGCTGGGTCCACGTATGCAAGATATCTGTGCAGGCTGTGCTGACAGCTCTAGGAGCTCGTTCCACTACCCACGACTGGCAGAGTAGATTTGTGAGGTCTCAGCTTTGCTGGACCTCAAGATCTGACGAATGTCAACAATGGCTTGTCGTTGGAGGACAAGATGGGGACGCGTTGTTACCGGCAACCTGTGATCCTGCGCAAGGCGGGGAAAGGGGGCTGACTGGCTTCAAGTGGAGAAGAAGGACTGTCAGACACAACAGCTTTAATATTGCATGGCAATACTACTCGAGTGGCAGGGCGATATGAGCTGTGTTATTGATGAGGTTTCGTATATATTTTTGATGGATCAGTTCAGCTAATGTCAGCGCAGGCCACAAACAATCATGTGATTTGTTTACATCGACAATCTGACAAAGACGCTGTTTGGTATTCGTGCCGGACTTTGAAAGATATGCGACTCCGAGAAGCGCCGTCGCCATTACGACCAGATACTCTGTTCTACCCCTTTCTCCGAACATCAAGCCATCAAACTTAACATCATGCCTTCCTTCACATATCCACTCACAACACCATCCCCATCATCATCACGACCACCTCATCAAATCCTACTCTGCCCTTTCATCCCCCCCTTCCCCCTCCCCGCCAAATTCCTCTCACTCCCCAACACCAACCCAACATGATTACTCACCACCACCAGCTCCCCCTTTTCATCCATCACCAGCACCTCCAAATCAAACCTCCCGCCCTTAACCTCCTTGCTTGACACCCTCATCCTCAACCACTCCCACCCGCCGCTGCCGCCCTCTTCTTCCTTTCCCTTTTCCGGTGCAGCCTTCTTTTGCTCAATGTTCATCACCACCGTAGGATACCAATGCTTCGCATCATGTCTGAATCCAACCCCCTCCTCCTCCTTTGCGTTTTCCTCTTCACTTCTAGGGCGATGAGCCTCCACGACATACGGCCAGCAATCACTTACGTACCCGAGCGATGCATTGGTGAAATTTTCGCCTGACGATAACCGAATCCAGAGGTCAATGATGGATTTGCGAACCTGCCCCCGTCGTGGAATGTAGAAGTGGGTGTTTTGTAGAGCTCGGATGTAGCTGGATTCGGATCCGGATCCGGACCCAGGGGGTAGTAGAGAAGGGATGGCGGTCCAGTGGGGGTCGCGGTCTTGTTTGAGCAGAGAGAAATCGGGGTTTTGGGAGGGTGAGGGGACAAGGGGAGGGGGGAGGAGTGTGAATTGCGTGTTGAGGGAAAGACCGGTGAGGGAGGAGAGGTTGGTCATTACCAGGTAGGCGGTTACGCGTTTCTTGCCAAGGGTTTTTGTTGGGAGGAGGTCAGAGGTGGAGGTGTCGTCTTGGTGCAAATTGCCTTGGTACAAAGTGGCGTGTAGGGTGGTTAGTTGACGACCGGGTTTCACGACCTCGATAAGGATGGTTGCGGGACCGACTTGGGTGCGGTTGAGGTACTCGAAGTGAGCGTTCATGACGTGCGGTTGGGGGTTGGAAGGGGAACGGGAGGAGCCGTGGAGGATAGCGGCTTGGAGAATGCATGATGCTACGTAGCCACCGTTGGGAACTGTCAAGTCGTTAGTGATGTTTTGGCCTGTTTGATGTGCGAAGATGAAGAGATAACCTACCGGCGCCGATGCAGAATGAGTCTACCAGGTTGGCTTGGTAGGTGTTGGCATCGAGCCTCTTGATCTCCGTTGCCTTGGCGAACGGGATTATATCTGTTGATGGTTTGTCTGAGGCCATTTTCGACACTTTGTTGCCAAGACTACTTGATATGGGATCTTGAATAAAAGAGTTCTGAAAGATTGCGTGTAGCACTTATACGGTGATAGTGTTGATGAATCCGGGGAACAGTTACCCCAACCCCCACTTTAGTGAGACTGTTTGAGCCTCGGTTGCCAAGTCGGCAGCTTTCCGTGTTGATCTCAGGAAACTACACTGGAGGGATAACAGGATTCCGAGTGAGTTCGCGATGTTCATCATTAACCAGATCTCCTCCTCGACACTTTAATTGCGGTAAGAAAGGTGCAAAGTATTCCAAGAAAGGTGCAAAAAGAATGACAATACTCGTGGTGAAATGAGTTACCAGAAATTACAAAAAGATTGGACAATACCGGATTCGAACCGGTGACCTTTCACAAAGGCGCATCTATGGAATGCGAAGCGAAAATCATACCCCTAGACCAATTGCCCGTTCGTTATCAATACTTCAAAACTGTGGCTCTATCAATGCTAGCTCAAGTCTGTTGTCCGCTCAGCAGCTCCCCACTTGCCTCGGCTCACGTTCACCTTGACATATCAAAACGTCGATAGCGACCTCTCAACTCCACGACGACCTCAAGCTTTCCCCCCCAAGCACAGAATCACATGCCAAAGATTGCAAGATGTTCCGAGGCGACATCTTTTCAAGTCTTGGCTGTTGGGAAACTCAACAAATTTCGAGGACTGCAACATCGGGCATCGCGGCGGCTCAAACTCCGTAGACCTTTGACCGCCGCCGACCGTTGCGACCGAGGACGAGACAAATGGAATGGAAGAGATGAACACCTCCGTGAGACAGACTTATAAAAGGGCTGAACGAATCCCGAAACGGACAATGTCCCGGTTGACGTGGAGACATCCGCTCCGCTCCCACGGGCTGGATCGCTGATCCTAGCATCAAATTCTCCCCAAACTGGACCGGGGACCAACGACGGAAAAGTCGAGAAAGTCGAGCTAAGTTGAGAATAAAAAGATACGAAAGCTTCAATGCTGGCCTCTGATCGAGTGATGGGGGACCCGTTTTTCACTCATTAACTTCATTTTCGTAACGACATCTGTTCTCCTTTCTCAGGCTTCTTCTTCACTCTTGTTCATGGAGGTCATCACGTAGAACTACACACACCACCACCACCACCACCACCACCACCACCATGTCCGAACAAGTTCTCGTCGACGCCGTCGTCGTCACCCACAACGAGAAACCATCCCCCTTGGGACCGGGCTTCAAGCGCCTCACAGAACAAATCTACTTCTCCGAAGAAGCTCCCCCTTCTCCTAGTACAAGTACAAGTACAGACCCAACCACCATCCTCCTCTACGGCTGGGGCGACGCCCGCCCCAAACACCTCGCCAAGTACGTCGACGGGTACCGCGCCCTCTTCCCCGCGGCCAAACTCGTCGTGGTCCTCTGCCCCATCTTGCGCTGCCTTTACCAGACCCTCGAAGCCCGTTCCAAGGCCATGACCCCCGTCATCTCCGCTTGCTTCGGTTCCTCTCGGGAGTCTGCTGCAGACCACAAGTCTTCGACCCAAAACAGAATCCTAGTACAAGTCATGTCCAACACAGGCGGCATGTACTTCGCCGCCACTTTGAACGCCTACCGCCAGCGTTTCGGCCAATGCTTTCCTCATCACATGCTCGTCCTCGATTCCACGCCCGGAAGCACTTCCTTCCTACAAAACGCCGGGCCGTGGTCACGCGCCATGGCTTTGGGAGCATCAGGATACTTGCCAGGTATGCCGTTCATCGTCACGCAAGCGATGGCGTGCATGTTCCTGGCGGCGCTGCATGGGTTCGGGTGGTTGATTGGCGCGTCGAGCGCGGCGGCGTATAGTGTGGCGGCGGTGAACAACGAGGAGCTGTGTGCAAGAGGAGCGATGAGGCTGTATGTGTACTCGAAGGAGGACGATATTATTTACTGGGAGGATATCGAAAGCCATGCGGCGCAGGCGAGGCAGAGGGGGTATCAGGTGGATATGGACATGTTTGAGGGGACGCCGCATGTAGGGCATATGAGGATGCATTCGGAGCAGTATTGGGGGGCGGTGGGGAAGACTTGGAGGGAGGCGGTTGGTGGGTTGTGAGGGGTCTTGTTGTTGTTTGGTTATGGGGAGGGACGTGGTTGGGTTGGAAATTTACTCGGGGGTTGAGAAAGAGGGTAATGTGGTGGAAGGGCTTGGATTTGTTGAAACAAAAGAACAGTGAGTTACAGGCGCTTTGGATACTAAAAGGCATATTACAGCATTAGAATTGGGATTGAATGGATAGATATTAGAAGGAAGCAGACGGTAGAATAGAAGTGTGACAGCGAACCGGACTTAACGAACGAAACTCACAGTCAAATCCTCCTTCTATCATTTCTTCTCAGGGGTATCTCGGTTCATCTCCCTCCCATCTCACCCCTTACCACTTGATCGTACGCTTCCGGTGGATGTTAAGTTGTGTTTATGAAGCATGCCTAAGCCCACACGGACCACAGTAGAACCAGCCATGAGTTTCGAATTTATACATCCCGAACCGTGCCGCCTGGTCTGTATTGCATCAAGGGATATTTAGCCCTTGCCGTGCAAAGATTCAGTTGACTGCCAGCCCTATGAAGAAATCAGACATAAGCGGACGAGCCGAGAGAGAATTGACAGACGATTGCCGAAACAAACATCGAACGATAACAAACCAAAGAAATGGGACAAAATGAATATATAAAAGCGTCGAAAAGGAACAGCAACGTAAGTTTAATCGCAGACTCGCCGAAATAAGTGCCACGCGGTTGAGGCGTTCACGGGGTTCAAATGCCTCTGGCCCTCACTCGTCGTCCTCATACCAAACAACGTTCACATTGAACATCGCCTTAGAAGCAGCATTTAGAAATGTCTCCGGGTCTCGCTGTCATGGTCATGATTAAGGTAGGTCGTAGATAATAATAAAAAAGTTCCAGGTCTGGCTTGCTATAATCATCCAACCGCGTGTCCCCAAGCCAAGTCAAGTTTCCCGTTATTTGTTGTGTGTTGTTACAGTATATACTCCAGACGCCAGAATGATGCAAGCTCTTTTGCTGCTGCTACTGCCCTGAAAAAAAGAATTGAACAAAATCGACGAACCGACGACGACGCATTAGCAAGAAAAAGAACTGAACCCATTAAAAGTCGATCGACCGACTGACACACACCCCCTTTTTTTTTTCCCTTGAACCTTTTACCTCCTCCCACGTCCACCGCCACCTCCCATCAACCCGCTCATCTGTTTCATCATCGCATTCATGTCCATCCCACCCATACCACCACCGCCGCCCATGCCGCCAAGCATCTTCATTAGACCGCCCATATCTTGGCCACCGCCGCCCATGCTCTGCAGACGCTTCTGCATGGCAGCCAGCTGTTGCGCCTTGTTACCACCTCCCATGGCGCTCTGGGCACGCTGCATGTTCTTCATGTTGCCGCCCATCTTCTTCGCCATGCCAGCCATCATGCGCTGCTGGGTAAGCAGGTCTTCAACCTCTCTGACCGTCGTGCCGGAACCCCTGGCAACACGCGTCATACGCGTCGGTTGGTCAATGAAGATCTTGCCGTCGCTGTCGAGTTCCTTGTCCGTCATGCTGTCGCAGATGTAGATCATGCGCTTGAGCTTGAGCGAGCCCTCCTCGTCGTCCATGTTCTGCATCATGTTGCTCATTCCTGGGATCATGCCAGCCATCTTGCTGAGGGGGCCCATCTTCATGATGTTCTGCAGCTGGTCACGTAGGTCGCGGATGGTGAAGATGCCCTCGGTGATGTGCTTGATGGTATCCTTTTGGTCGAGCTTGAGGGACTGGACGTGCTCGACGAGGCCAGCCATGTCGCCCATGCCGAGGAGTTTGCTGATGAAGTTGTTGGGTACGAAGCGCTCCAAGTCGAGCATGTGCTCACCAGTACCGATGAAGACGATGGGGGTGTGGGTGGCAGCGACGGCCGAGATGGCACCACCACCCGCGGCGTGGCCATCGGTCTTGGTGATGATAATGGCACCGAAGTCGGCAGCCTCCTTGAAGGCCTTGGCTTGGGCTTCGGCTTGTTGACCGATAGAGGCATCGAGCACCATGATGGTCTCGTCTGGCTTGACTGCCGTCTGAATGTCCATCATTTCCTGGAAGAGCGCCTCCTCTTGCCTGTGACGACCCGACGTATCGACGATAATGATCTCGAACTTTTCCTTCTTGAACTTGTCCACACCATCGCGCGCCACCACTACGGGATCTGTTTCCGTCAAACTGCCGTAGTAAGGGATCTTGGCCTTGGTCGCGTTCTGCTTCAGCTGGTCGAAGGCACCGGCACGAAAGGTATCGGCGCAGACAAGACCGACGCGGAAACCACGCGACTGGTAATGCCTGGCGAGCTTTGTACATGTTGTCGTCTTACCAGCACCCTGGAGACCGACAAACATGATAACGTTGGACTTGCCCTTCTTTGGCTTGAAGGGCTCGGCATGGGGGTCGACGAGACGGACGAGTTCATCGAAGACGGCTTTCTGGATCAATCGCTTCTTGTTGACGGCCGGTGGTAGTTCTTTGAAGTTGACTGTGGACTTGATCGATTTGCGCAGTTGACCGACGAGACGGACGTTGACATCGGCTTCGAGAAGGGCAGAGCAGATCTCCTTGAGCATGCCATCGAAGGCCTGTTGATGATAAAGGTGGTCAGCGATCTGGACTGGTTGACTGCTAGGGGCAGTGACTGTATCGGCCAGAAGTAGACGGGAAAAGACCAGACAACCGGATATCCAAGCTTACCTTCTCGTCGAGATTGGGGGCGCGTGTTAGGTCGCTGACGGCCGCATTGATGCGGCGACCTAGATCTTGCAAAACCATGGCTGTTGATTATGTGGCGGCTATGAAGCCGACTAGGGGTATAAAGGTTGTGTTGTTTCTAGGAAATCGTCGTCGCCGTCGTTGTGTTCGAAGACGTGGGTAGTGTCTGGTCAGAGGTCGTTCGGTTGTGGGTAATTGGTGGGTGGTGGTAGTTGTTGCTCAGTCACAAGTGGAAGTGATGCGCTTCGGTCATCGGTCGGTGGCCACTCGGTGCTCTCTCTCTCTCTCTTGGTGGATCCCGTCGGGCATTGAAACGGACAACTTCCACTGCAGCTGCTTGGCAAGCTCAGGACCGCCGCGCGGACGGGCATCGGGGCCCGGGGACGATTGGCGGGCGGATTATGGTGGGGCAGTTCGCCGTTAGGCCTGCCTGACCCCACGGGCGGTGAGCAGGGCTTGGCGCTCGTTGAGGTTCTGGCCTTGGCGGTACCTGGCAGTTTGAATCAGTTGCCCGACAGCTGCAAAAGCGTTATCTGTATAAGTGATAAGCGATAAGTTACAACTCTGGAATGGAAGGGAGGGCCATGCCAGGAAAGCAAGAGACGACTTCATGTCGGGACAAGGAAACAGTTCAAACCCCATGATCTAGAATGAACGGTCGAATAGTTCGTTGACCCTATTACAAGCATCTTGTCTGTTACACCGGGCCGCCACTTAGACCTTGAATTCACAAGCGACACACGACCAGACAGGTACCTCTAGACAGGCAGACCTCCATCTCGACTTGGCAAAACCCTCGAACCAGGAAACCCCAAAAACACCTACCTCAACCTTCTCTTGTCTTGGCCCACAGATGTTCTCTACAAGTATACAAAAAGCTTCTCTAGCATGGTAGGCATGAAACTAAAATGCAGTGAGGTTCAGCTGTGTGATCACGTTGTGTCTGAACAAAAAGTTTTTCAGGTAGGTATGCTGAGCTTCCTGCAAAATCGTGCTTGTTGCCAAGTTTAACGGTTAAACCGCCGAACTCGCCCCGACGAATACAACCCTTACTTTTGATCTACTGTCAGAGAGAGAGAAAGACGAACAGGCGAACTTGCACGGAAGCGTCTCGTTGGATGATGAACCATCATGAACTGAAACATGTTAATCTGTGGGGATACATCTGACCTAGAATCGCGGCCAACAGCATGGTCGCTGTCGGGTTTTCGACGTTGGTTTACTAAAGATGCTGCTGGTCGCAATGACTATAATGACTGGACGTGTGGGCAGCAGGTTACTAAAAGAGTGTCGTCTCGAACTTCGGGATCTCCGTTCCGAATTAATGCATTAACGACATGCAGTGACACTAATTTTCTCTCCGTCTCTGTCTGTCTGTCTGTTCTGTAGAAGTTCCTTCCAAGGTACATTCGAGGATCGCTTCCAGTCCTTCCAATCCTTCCCCTGACCCCCTCTGACCCTCAAACCCCTATACCATCAATCGGGATGAATTAGCGTCATTCCCTTGTCTGTGTTTATGCTCGTATTTTTGAGACGCAACATGGAAGGAAATTTCGTTCTAATGGGACTGCGTTTCCATGTTTTTACGCCTAACCGATGGTGCATCCTACCCACCGTGCCACCCTACCCATCCTTTCATCTATGGAGCGGCGCAGACGCGCAAGTAATTAACCATCGTAACCACACACGTGGTAAAATACTCGGCACCCGTCGGGCATTGGTTCACCAGTCGGGCTGGCGGACTGCTCATTGCAACCACTTTTTGCGACAGATGCGACAGAACGCTGGTGCCGCTGACCTATCCTTCCTCTCGGGTCTGAAGTCATGGAAGGTAGGCTAGAAAAGCTGTAACACCATCTGCGAGACGCACGGCGCTACTTCATTTATCCAGAGCCCTGGAAGGCTTGGAAGCATATCCGTCCGTCAGGGTTTGGTGCGTGAGTGCTCTGTGCTCTGTGCTCTTGGACTTTGGTGCTATGTAGCACAGGCAACAACAGCTTTTTCGTACGGGACAGGGCCACGCAGATTCCTTGTTGTGTTTCTGGTGTTTGTTGTGCGGCCTTTCTCATGTCTAAAGGTACAATGTTGATTCAGCAAAGGCACGGATATAAGCGTGGTATTCACTGCAACACACGTAATACCCCCCGTGGTGGTTGGCATTTGTTGACGGGCAGCGAGCATGGGCAACAGGTTACATGGAACACAGGTACGACTGGAACGACCATGTAGTTGGTTTACGAACCCAACATCGATCTCTTCTCGGCTCCGGATAGAAATTCAATCATAATCTCTGGCATTGTATTGACACCTACTCCCTAGCATCTGTCAAGTATGCAACCGGCCGGAGCAACCGGCCATTCGGAGTAAAGGATCTCGGTCCCAAGCATTGCTTTCCAAGACCGACAGCGACAATATGGGCATGCTGGTCTTGGAACACCTCGTTACATGTGTTGCACGAAGCCCTGAATGCTGCGTGAAACGGGATGGTCCGAAACATCTCGAGCAAGCCTGTCGTCCCAACAAATCGAAATTGTGACGAACCCTTTTATGTTTTGACCTGTCCTGATTGAACAGAAAAGTAAACTGTTTGGAAGGGTCTGGGTCAAGAGGTGTCACCTCAGCGCCTCACCCTGACTGGGTTATTTCAATCAAAGACAACCCCTCGCTTGTCTACGAAAAGCGGTTCTCACTCGATCAGAGAAGAGAAATGCCCTTGCAGCTCTCTGCCCTTGCGCAACATTCCATTATGCCACCGCCCGTCCGGATACGTCATGGCCGAGCCAAAGGGTAGAAGCAGAAGCACAATGCGGTCTCAGCTCAATGACAGCTGTTTCTTGGGTTTGACAATCTGTTTCGGCAAAGCGTCAAAATTCGATCGCACTTGCGGTCGTTCTCCGCAACCCTGCCCCTATCAATCCTGTCCAAAGGCTCGAGAGAGATACCGGGGGAAGGGGTGCCATGCTGTCATGCCAGATTAACAGTAGAAGAAACAGAATGCGATGATACCGTGTGTTTTCCAGTTTGATGCGATGCGCCATCCACTCAGATCTTCGAGACAGTTCGCAGATGCCACGTGGCAAGATTGCCCATATGTAATCATGTGAAGTCCGCTGCTCCGATCTTCAATGTGATGAGAAGCTTGGGGGTTGGGGAGCTTGGAGAATCTGGGGAAACCGGGCTTGCGAGCCTGAAAAAGAAAGACAACTTGGCAATGTTCTAATTACCATCACGTACGCCGCATGGATACTTCCATCCTTTCATGCCATTCACTGGACTGCCGGCTCCCACTAAAAGGCCATGGACTCAGCGTGGCAAGATATACACGCCGATGTGCAATGCAAACTCGCAGGGGCTGGCTCCGTTGGGTATCGTGCCATGATAAAGCCATCACGCCCTGACCGATGTGATTTCGGACGGGCGGATTGCGCTCGCTATCATAACCGGATCTCATCGTAGGCCAAGCCTGCCGCGATGTGGTCGAGTATCGTCTTGGTGAAATCATATAGGTTAACGCGCCATAATCCTGACGTGTCTGATATCTTGGGGGATGGCGGGGAAAAAAGTCTCTAACAAATCGCATCTATCCAAGGGGTCACCGCCACTGAGGAGGAACAACGGCCAACGAAGCGCCTACTGGTAGTACGCGGTAAGTCTGAGGTCGCGGTGACAATAGTGGCATCTTGGAGGGATGTGGGGAATTTCAAGCTCTTGGCTTCACACGGCAGTTCCCAAGTCTCTTAAGTTCCCCTTTGTGATGCGGTTCTAACTGCCCAAGAACCCCAAAAAGTCATCAGATGTCTTCAAAGTATTCCACTAATCCAGGTACGAAGGGGGGTGTAAGATTTTGTAAGACTTGCCTCAATGTGAAAGCCAAGGCGGTAGTGTGTTTTCTCAACAAAAAGAGGAGAAGCCTCCGTTGGAGCGAAGCATGAACTGGAAGCTTGGCGTGGGTTGGAGTTCAGTTGGAGAGTTAGGTCAGACAATTGATCTAGACCTGACTAGGGCAAAACTAGAGAAAGAGGCCAAGAAAATCCACAATCTGAAGTGGTTCTTGAGGTGTAAATGATGAGTAGAAGCAGAACCGAGAAGAGATCTGGATGCTGCCATAATGAAATAGATCAGGCAGCATCGGCCGCATTGCCAGCCTCTCTGGTTGGGTCTGGGGTTTGAGGGTTCGTTCGGGGCACCTCGAGATGATGATCTGGGGAAACTGGAGTCGTCGATGGAGTCAAATGGAGAACAGGAGGAGGAGAATGGTGGCAGTTAAAGCTTCCCTTGGCACATGCTATGGCCATGGAAAAGAGCTAATCCCTGTGACGGGAGGTAGTTGGTGGAGTTGAGATGGAAGCGACGGATTGAACTGAAAGGGCCAAGGCGGGCGGGGGTTACAGTGCCCACTGTGTCCACTAGGTGCCCTTGTAAAAGAGGAAATCCGGGGCAGTTTCCACCAGCGATGCAAATCCGGGGTAACTTTGACTGAACGTCGTCCCTTCTTTTCCAGCTGAGCTGAGCTGTCTACAACTATTGGATCTCCAACCTCTTCTCATTGTTCACATGACTGGTGGAGGCTCTTGATTGTTCTCTTTTCCGTTTGCACAAGTTCCATACCCACAAGTTTTTGTTTTGGTGTGCCTTTTTTGAACTGCCGAGGCCTTCTCTCCCCGTATTGCTCATATTGCGTGATACAGGTAATCAATACTGCTTGTATGTACTTGTTCTACTTGTATTTTGACAACCGTCTCCAGGCTGGAGTTGGACAAATGATGGGAGATCCACATTCCCTTGGATGGTATCAACGGGATATCCAAGGAAAGTGGTATTTTATGTACCTGCCATCTAAGACAGCAACTGCATCAAGCATCCGCTGTCGCGGCCGCTACAGTGCAGTGCTACTTTCCAAATTCTCAAAGTTCACAGACAGGGCAGCTGCGTCCGCCCGCCGTGATCCGTGAAAGGTTACACGAAATTGAAATATGGGTCTGAGCGACATCAATCTTTCGTTTCTTCCTTTTCTTTTTCTTGATGACGAGGAGAATTTCCAAAGGGAGAGGAATACTATTCAGATGGAGAAAGCAGGGAAATGATGGAATTCGGGCAGCCTGCGTTGATCAGGAACTTGTGCCTCCCCGCGCAGACAGCTCGCCATTGATCCAACTGAATCCAACGGTATCTAACCATCATGGCAACAATCATGGCAATTTAGGAACACCCATCTGACTGACTGCTTTGAGCGGCGTCTTCAGTCTTTCGTTCCCGCGGCGGTAATCCACAACCACTTGGCGGACAGTGACTTCTCCTTTTTCGTCGCTTTTCGTTCAGCTCATCCTTCGTACGACAAAGTGGCGTTCTCCTGCTTTGCTCAATTTGGTCCAGTCCAAAATCGATGCCTGCCAGGTCCTCAATCGACATTGTAATACCCAACCCAAGCATTCCCTTGGCCCGGGGTACGATACAAGGCTCTTGGACCAAACACAAGAGAAGCAATGTTGGTCTCGTCGTCTATCGTCGTTTGCTTGCGAGATGGAGGACTAGGAGAGCCTCAGCAACGGAAGCCCACCGCCACTTGCATTCCCCACAGACTCCAATAAACGCGTCCTTGCATGCCTCGTTGCCTGTCTAATCCATGCTGACAATGCCTGGAGAGCGATCAACTGGCGCTTCCGGTTGCGCAAAAAGGGCCAAGCATTGACGACCCATTCACGACAACGACGACGACCTTTCTGCCGCTAATTTTGACTGTGACTATCGCAATTGTCATGACTGCTGACCCCGCACAACGCTTTGTCTGCGCCGTCGGCGGACGCATAACCACGGTCAGATTCACATACCCCCAAGCACCATCATCGGCACTCAAGTTGAGACCATCTCGGACAAGGTTTCCGACATCAGTTTCGCGAAAACCAAGCTTCAAATTTGTTTCGACAAAGACGTACTGCATGATGCATTCCCATACACTTCCCATTTATCCTTCCGCCCGAAACCTTCATCCGGAAGGCCGTTTGTGGTCATTGCCACGTGCGGGGGAAGATTCCTCAAGATTTGGGCGTCCTGGGCGTTCTGGGCATCGCGGGGCATCGTGAAATACCAAGCCCATTCCTGTCACTGCCACTCTGCAGGAAGGGGGGTCTGGGTAGGAGGAAGGCAGCGAGTGGGAGAGAGATGGACAACAGGACACGTCCCAGAGTTTTCCTCTTCCTTCACCACGGCTTCGATCCCATCCAATGGCATATCAGCCAAGACGGATGAAATATCAGATCCAGGTTGTGGGTATGCCGCCGAGCCCAAGCTACAAGCGGACGAGCCTGGCTGTGCCTCACTAAAAGGGTTGATATGCCGGTCGAGGAACAAAGATTGATGGTCACGATATGGTTAGAATGGGTGGTGGTGGATGGCTGCAAGAGGATGTGGTCTAGATGCGGTCCAGCTGCAAGCAGAAGTACACTCAAGGTTAGCCCGAGCGCAAGCCCAAGAATAAACGAGTCGAAATGAGTCTAACGAGCAAAAAGAAAGCTCCTCGATGCTACTCGAGCCCTGCAGCCAAGCCATCTTGGCGGCCCGCGGCTGGATAAGGTTGGCGGGACTAATCCAACCAAACAATGTTGTCATTGACCTTTCCGTCTTCCCCAGGTCAACAAGTCTATTTTTCACCACTAAGGCCCAGCCAAAGGTTGTACCGTACCCCCCCGGCAGGATTGTCTACCACTCACAGGCCGTCTTACCTCATCCTTAAATGGCTGGATATTATCAACAATGATACTCCGTACCATTCGCTTCGTGATGGAAAGATTGACCATTCCATCCAGATGGGATCGGTGAGCCAAACACAAGTGCAGCTGGCTTATCAGAACAGAGTACGGTACAACTTGGGAAAGTTGCCCGGCGAAGCATGCATATGTGTTCGGCTTCAATCAACGTCCCGCTTCTCACCCCCTTTTTTCACTACTTACTGACCCATGTGTGGCGAGCACGCATGTTGGATGTACAGAACCGCTTCCGGAACGCTGCCGTTGACACTTCTCGGCAAAATGCACCTTGGTCACAAGTCGGTGTAAGTGACGGTAATCCGTACGCTGCTCTCCTCTGGTTCCTAGGAATCAAACGAGTTGCCAGATTACGGTAACGCTTGTGTTTCCATAGATCAGAGACATGTTCCGCCTGCTGGTCTCAGCAGACTGAAACCACCCATGTTGACGTGAAAAGGAGCCAGGGGACCTGGTCCAGGCTACAAGTACAGGAAACCATGGGAAAGCCATGCTGCCAGGATCATCTAGTACTCGCATACCCTACCTCACTGGCACTGGGTAATGTCTTGTCCACGCTTGGTTACCATGTACATACATCAACTGCTTAGTGTAGCACCCATGCACTAACTAGCTGTGACATGGTGTTCTGCTGTACCCCCCTTCAACCACTTACAAGGTACCCTCATACCCTTGTTTCTATTTTCCATGTGCTTGGGTGTCTGGCCCTGCGGATGAAAGACCTCCAACCCTTAAGTTTGTCTTCCCCGACTATAAGGGCCAGAGCATCCTCATCATGCCCCCTTTATTCGTGTGTTTCCTCTCTTCTCTCCAGGGAATCGGCGGCCCTTCCATCTAGTTATCCCCAGACAACCGGCACCTTCGTACCAGTCCAACCGTCCTTCACTTCAACGCCAATCCTTACCTCATAGGTAGATCGAACATCCTCACAGTCACCACCCACCATGGCTGCCGATCATGACGCACCCGTACGGGACGTCCCGACTACTGAGAGCTCCAGCGTCAACAACGAGAAGGCTGTCCATCCCGAGTACACTGAGGACGTCGCTCTGGAAAGTGCCGGCTGGGATGAGCAAAGAACCAAGAAGCTACTTCGCAAGATCGATAGCAGGCTACTCCCCTTCCTTGCCTTGTTGTACCTTCTATCCTTCCTCGACCGTACAAATATCGGCAATGCCAAGCTCGAGCTCCTTACGCAGGACTTGAAGCTCACCGGCCTCAAGTACAACGATGCGTTGGGTATCTTCTTTCCCTTCTACGTCCTCGCCGAGGTACCCTCCAACATGGCCATGAAGCGTTTCCGCCCGTCCATTTGGATCCCATCCATTATGATTGCGTGGGGTGTTTGTTGCACCCTTATGGGCGTTGTCCAGAATTACCATGGCTTGATGGCAGTGCGGTCTTGCTTGGGTCTTGCCGAGGGAGGTCTCTTTCCTGGTATCACCTACTAGTATGTATCTCCCTTTTGCTTGTCGTCAAATCGCATTTACTTACAGTACCCAAGCATTACAATGTGGTACAGGCGTCACGAGTGCGGCTTCCGCATGGCCATATTCTTCTCCGCTGCTACCGCCGCCGGTGCTTTCGGTGGTCTTCTGGCTCGTGGTATCCTGGAGATGAAGGGTGTCGGTGGCTACAATGGATGGCGCTGGCTCTTCATCTTGGAGGGTATCTTGACTTTTATTATTGGTAAGTTGACCCGTCCTGCCTTTTTATACGGTGCGTTTTCTGATGATTTCTTCCAGCCGTCATTGCCTTTTTCGCCATGTACGACTACCCTCAGACCGCCAAATTTCTCAAGCCTGAGGAGCGTGAAGAGATCGCCGCCCGTCTCAAGCGCGATCGTTCTTCCCTTGCCGATGAGTTCGACATCAAGTATTTCTTTGCAGCCCTCAAGGACTGGAAGATCTGGGTCCACATGTTCATCACCATTGGCGTTTACACTGGCTTGTACTCGTACTCGCTCTTCGTCCCCACCATCATCAACAGCATCGGTACCTTTAGCCCCGAGCAGAGTCAGCTTTTGACTGTCCCGCCTTACGTGGTAGCCTGCCTTTTCTGCATTGGTGCCGGCTGGTATGCCGATAAACTCAAGCAGCGTGGTATCTTTATGCTGTTCTTCATGGGCATGGCGTACGTATCACCTCAAATCTATCTTTGCATCACTTGCTAACGACTCAGCAGTATCGTTGGCTTGATCATGTTGATGGCTACTAGGACGCCCGCTGTCCGCTACCTCGGCTGCTTCTTCCTCGCTTCGGGTATCTACCCCAACGTTCCCCAGGGCGTCGCATGGAACGGCAACAACATTGGTGGCTCGCTCAAGCGCGGTGTTGGCATTGCCATGCACGTCGGTTTCGGCAACCTGGGCGGTGTCATCTCGTCGTACCTCTTCCTCGCCAAGCAGTCTCCCCACTACTACCAGGGTTTTGGCACCCTTCTCGGCTGCCAGGTCATGGCTTTTGTCCTGTCGGCCTTTATGACCATCTACCTCAGGCGCGAGAACGCTCGCCGGGACCGCGAGTACAAGCCCCCAAGCGAGTACACTGAGGAGGAAAAGATTGCGGAGCGCGAGAAGGGTGATAATGCCACCTTTTTCCGGTACACCGTATAGATGTGGTTGCGTTGCGTGCTGTGTGGACTTTTACTGTTCACGGCTTGGTTTTTGTCATGGGATACGGAATGGGATGAATTACATGAACAGATGATATGGGATTGACAGCTCGATGACTTGGAGGTCATCTGTACCATGCCCTACACATGTTTATATACCTACGGATAAAATCATGGGCGGTAGTACTGGGGAGAATTGTATCATGATTGTTGTGGATGGAAGACTCTGAGATCTCCTATTGGATAGATCAAAACTACTTGGATATATACCACTACTTATCTATAAATCAAATACCATAATGCGTGTTCTACTCGCACTTCTTGATTACTTTTAGGTGCCAAGGAATGGATCATATCGTGATTCAAAGGTTTGAGGGGTTTCAAAACTAGTCCCAGGACATTAAATGATTAATATCCGCAAAGGTGCTTGTAAATACGCCCACGCCAGTGCTCAGATTACAGTTTGCAGTCTTGGACTAAATATACGTCACTCGCCCACAGCACGCGTTCGTGCAGTGGATTGGCATTATGTCTGGTATCTTTTTGAGACTAGGAAGTTCCAGTCTCGAGACATGGAAACCTGATCCCCCCTTTCCAGCAAGTATGATCGATGATGCTAGGTGGTGAGTCACATACGTTCTTATCTACAAATAGCAACTATGCAGGTACGTAGCAACGAGGACGCAGAGTAGTAGGTATCTGAGGGGATGAATGATAAGCGGCAATGGAGAAGATAAAGACAGGTCTTAGAGGTGGGATGTCTGAACTGATATCAAAATTGGGGGTAGTGGGTACATGTTGTCCGTGGATCGTGGATGACACGAGAACTTTTTTCTTAGTTTGTTTTTCTGACCATAGAGATAACGTTCCTTTTTTTGCATTCTTCTTCTCCTTTCCCGCTCGCATTTTCCCATGACCGCTAATCACGAAATGTTGTTGAGTTCTGCGGTGTTCTAACTATCAACCGTTGTTTGGCCATGCACTGCTCTTGTAATTCCGTGGTTCTGCGACGAGACATGCAGTCAGGCACCGAATCGAAAATCGATGTTGGTACCCGTTGCGGGCTGGGCCGTGCGGGCATGATTGATGTTGTACTTACGGTAATTACAGAGAGGAAAGAGCGTGATGTGAGCGTCCACTTGGGCTGCTGTGGTCATGGGACTTGCCAATGGTATATGTGGGATGAGCAGTGCAAAATTGAGAGGATAGCGACAGCGACTTGAAGACTCTCGCCAGTTGAAATTCAAAAGAACCTAGAAACTGAAGTTAGTGGTTTGGTAATATCCGCGGCACTTACTCACCTTACAATCAGATAAACCTGACCGCGGTTAACACTCGTTACTAACGAACTAAAGTATGCCGGGCACCTAATTTTATCTACCCTCTATAACTATTATATCCGATACCACTCCGACTAAATTTTAGGATGGGAAAGGTTACGATGTTGCTGTTAGACGCTGAGATGCATCTATTAACTCAATTAACGATTCTCGGCTAGAACGTAGATACCTAGAGGTATATATAATGGTTTCCTGGCCAAGGCTTCACGATCACCGGACAGGCATATAACAAGACAGCAGCCGTACCGAAACACTATAGTGAGCGGTTTTGTACCCAATAGAATTATTGGGGTCTAATTTACCTACCGACAAAAAGGTTATACGAATAAACAGAACACGATATAGTTAGTACGTTAGACCT